TCTCTCAACTCTTAGGTGGCTCGTTGTTTTTGGGGTTCCTGCACGTTTGGAGTAGGGGTCCCACAGCATGCTGGTCCTTGGAGTCACTTTGCATAGCCCCCCCCACCCTCTCAGGTCTCTTCACTATTCTGGGAAAAAGTACACCTTAGCCTCGGGCAAGGCTCTGCTAATACAAAAGGAGCGATTAGCCACAACGACCCGTGATTACAATAACAAAACACGCAGAACTTTGGCAGCAACAGTGATCTGGCTGCCTTTTTGTAACTTTTTCTCACAAAAAAAATTAACAGAATTTTTGTTCATAACATATCCCAGAAAGAATTTTCAGTAATTGTGGTCTTATCTGTTTCAGGAAAATGCAGTGCAATCCAAGATACAATTTTTTTAAGAGTCTTTTTTGACAGACTACCTTTAGAAAAAGTGAAATTGTTAACAGATAAGGTTTCTACAATGGTTAAATATAACTCTCTCTCAAGTGAGGTTAGTCTTAGGGTGCTTAAACAAGTACCGATGATTTTCAAGCCCTTTCCACAGAAAAAACGAAAAAAAAAGAAAAAAAACGAAAAAGGTTTTTTAGAGCACCCAAAGGTATGTGCGCAATCTTAAGCAATACTTACGTCCTTTGGGGTCAGGGGTCTGTGGAAGGGTGTCTGCTTCTCAATTCTCCTCGGATTTTATCTCGTCCAGATGTGTTGTTGAGGGTCGAATTGAGCCTTCCGCAGAGAGGATTTTCTAAAATGAAAAGTCCTTTCGCAGAAGGAGAGGCTTCCCGAACAGGCAATAACAGGAGGCCCTGAAAGGCTCTGATGCTCCGGTGACGCTTCGCTCCTGGGGGCCAGGGTCCGACAACACGTTGGGCGGCCACTTAAATGAGCCTTTCTTGGTCTTATCTAATGCAAGCTATTACAGCTCCAGAGCTCAGCTCCCAGGGGGACTGAGTGCCAGAGGCCAGCTCGCTCTCAGACCAAGGCCGCGGGTCAGCCCCTAGCAAGCAGGGAATATTCAGCTTTTAGTGATTAGGCAGCTCTTATGATTTCAAGCTCTTTGCTTGCTAGGCAGCTTTTTCCCTTGGCCTAAGGCTCCAGCAGACGGTAGAGAGAGGAGAAGCAGAAGACGCTGGCTGTTCCACATGTATGGCTTTATTGCAGGGGTTCCGTGAAGGGTCTCAGCTCTTCTTCTTCCGAGTTAGTAGGGGTACAGTATGCTACTTTTATACCCTTGGCCCAGATCCAATCCTGACCAATGGCCAGAGGTTAGAGTGACCATAAGTGACCAACAGTAGGGTTAACACAATATTGCCTTACATGGCTATAGGGATAGGTTATAGGGCGGTGGTCCATGGAGACAGGAAACTTCTTTGCTGCTGTGTCAGCATTCTATTTTCCAAGGGGCCCTGGCTAAACTTGAGGGGTTTACTACACTCATAGTCTAACGTATTTCTCTCCTAGTCCAAGCTACTTTCTCTGTGTCACCAAGCCTAAGCTTTCAGCATCACAAACCTCCTGTTTCTTGCCTGGCAGTTTCTGGGATGGGGCATCAGGAATGCAATTACTTGAGTGTCAGTGGCACTGCAGAGAGCACTTGATGTAAGAATCCTCTGAAATAACACAGGCAGACCACACTGATGCTGGAAAATGGCCTGTAAAGCTGGTGTCCACATTTGGAGAAGCAAAATGTGCTATTTCTGATGGAGGTTCCTACTGACAGAGTCAGCCAATGAAACTGGCTCTCAAGGCGAGATCATTTGGATGTTGCAGTGGCTGTGGCAGCCCCAGGGTTTGGGTTTTTTGGTTGGCATAGCAAAATGAGCTCTGAGCAGCATCTGTGGCAGGGAGGAAAGTGCCCCTGGAGCTGGGGCTGAGGCCCCGGGCTGGATGTGAGCCCGTGTGGGTGTGAAGGGAGCTGGCAGAGCGCTGAGTTTGCTTTCCCTGCAGGCTCGCGCTCTGATCCGGCAGAACGGGACCCCGCAGCTGCAGGAGCCCCGGCGCCTGTCGGCTCTGCTGCGGGACTGCCTCGAGTGCAGCCTGGAGCCGGACGAGGAGCGGCGCTGGGCTGCCCAGGAGCTGCTGCAGCTGAGGGCCAGGGGCTGCAGGGGAAGCAGCAGCGCCAGGGAGGGGTTTTCTTGTGGGGCCCCCTCCGACAGTCTCCAGTCTGGCTGCGTTCCACACGCAGAGCAAGCAGAACCCTCGCCTGCTGTGGCTTGGCAGCTCCTTTGGAGCTCATCTGGGCCTGGTGCCCCACAGCGAGCAGGGACATCTTCAAGCAGCTCAGGGGGCCCAGAGCCCTGCCTGACCTGAGGTTGGATGGTTCCAGGGAGGAGGCACCTCCCACATCTCTGGGCACCTTCTGTCAGTGTTTCCCCACTCTGCTGGTTAAAAAATTCTTCCTTAGATCTAATCTGAGCCTGCTTCCCTCTCCTGAGTTTCAAACCATTTCCCTTTGTCCTGTTGCAAGAGAGCCTGTGAGGAACTCTACTCTGGAAAGTAACAGTTCATTTCTTTCCTTTGTATCCTTTGGGCAGCACCCATTTTTATCATCAGCCAAGCCTCTCTCCAGCCTGACCCCTCTGATCACTGCAGTGAAGCAACTGAGGGAGCAGTGGAGGTGATGAAGCACTTGAGGACAGCTTTCAGTTACAGTAGTCAGGGCAACTAGTTAGTTATGGTAGTTAGCACTGGTAGTTAGTTATGAAAGTTAGCACTGGTAGTTAGTTATGGGAGTTAGAACAGCCTGTTTGTTATGGCAGTTGTTTGAATAAAAACTCTCTTAACCCTCAACTGCCTTGCCGTGTCCCTTCCTTCTCCCGCTGTGCCTCAGCTGCCCGGAGCAATGTGAGGGGAGAGCGGGCCCAGCCTGGCCCAGAGCTGAGCCCCAGCAGAGCCCTGGCAGAGCCCAGAGCAGCCTCAGCACCTGCAGAGTCAGCCTGGAAGGAGGCGCTTGGAGCCTTCTCGGCTGCACCCGGCTCTTGGTTACAAACTGGGTGTGCTGGAAAATGCCACCAGCTCTGCATGAGGGCAGAAGGGGCCCGGGGAAGGCCCAAGTGCTCCATGCAAGGGAAAAACCTGCTCTGGGTTTGTTATAAATAACTAGGTAGTGTTGGCTTTTGCTATTATGTATTGACTTCTGCAAAATATTCTTATTCACAACAATTTTGACAGAGTACAGTTTGTAATCACTTTTAACTGCTTTTGCTGTAGTATAATTTGTCAGCATTTTGTGGCCAATACCCTGACCCCTGTGTATCTCGTATCCTCAGAACATCATTTATGGATGATATTTTAGTTTGTGGACAGCATGAAAAACATATATTATAGTTTTGGCTTTTGCAAAATAGTAAAGTGGATGCCATGTGTTGTGCATTATAATGTTAACTTTTTGCAGAAGTAGCTGTAGTTGTGAAATAAGAACTAATGCTTTTATTTTTGTAAATAACTGACAATAACATTTCAGAGATAATTGTGAAATAGCCAATATTCATTTAAATACGTGTGGAAATAGCTAAAACTGTCTGCATGGTCACATAACATTTAAGGAAGGGATGTGATGAGGACCCCTGGCACTGACCCTTCCACTGTCAATAACTGTCACCTGCTGAAACCACAGAACAGGGCCACTTGTGAGGGAGTGACACACAACCCTCAAAACAGCAATCCACGATTCCTGCACGTGCTCTAAAACGGCGAGTTGGGGGTCAAACCAACCTGAAGAACTCCTGGAATATGTAAACGAGTTCAAAGAAATGTTTGAATATGTATAATCATTATGAATATGTATTTGAACAATACAATGGAAAAACTAGACAAGAAGAGTTTCTGTGGTTAACCGGTGTGCCTCTGGCCATCGCCAAACACCCAGCGCTGTTACTGATTTGTCCCTTATTATTCCTTATTAAACTTTCAAAAATTCTAAAGAGTGAGGCTCCTTTCTCAAAAACCCAAGGTGCTCACCCCTTGATCTTCCCCCAAAGCCAGGATTTGTCAATCCTAAACTTTGTCTGGACAGAGGAGAAGGAGGCTGCAAGGAAAAGGAAGATGCACTGGTGTGGAGGCCCATGGGAGTCTCAGCCTCCCACCCGTGGGGGACTGGTCTCCAATAAGAAGAATAGATTTCAAGGTTATGGTAAGAAGCTTGCTTCTCCCATTGATCTCTGCAGGCACATGCTGATTTATGGAAAGTTATGTTGCCCCATTGGCCCGTTGGCCTAATTACCCCAGTTCACCCCCTATTACCCATCTTTGGTTAGTCCCTAGAATGTTCTCCCTCTCTGTCCCTCCATTGGCCCTAATTTACTGCATTCCTCTGCCCCTGTTTCCCTATTAGCTGACCCGACCCTTAACCCCTCCTTTGCCCCATTTTCCCCCATATCCATCGGACCCTGACCCTCAGCTCCACCCTCACTACCCCATATAAAAACCCCCTGTGCCCTCAGCTTGCACCCTGTCTTTGTCCCTGGGCCCTGCTCAGCTCTGTCCCCTGTTCCTGTACCAATAAACCCAGTTTGCTGCAGATCATACCCAGACCCATCCTGCCGACTTTGTCAGCTTTATAAAGCAGCCGTGAGCTTCGGGCTCCGGAGTGCCGGACGCTCCAAGGGCCTCGGCAGCGCCAGGACGCTCCAGGCTGGGACAGCCAGGCAGGGCAGGAGGAATCACTGCCCCTTTCCCCTCTCTGCTGCTCCATCTCCCAGCCCAGCATCGCTGCAGGACAGCCTCACTGCCAACGCCATCCTGCCAGGGATGGACTGGGGGGATCTCCTTCCCCTTCCCTCTGGCATGGAGGCAAATCCCATCTTCTCCTTGACCACCCTCCTTCTTCTCCTCATTCTGTCCTTCATCCATCCATGTTCCTTTCCCATCTCCTTCCTCCCTTGCTCCTTCTTGTTCCTTCCTCTCCTCCTGCCTTTTCCTTTTCCTTTCTCCCTGTCTCTTCCTCTCCTTGTCCTTCCTCCCCCAGGTCCTAAGTTGCGGACAGAGACCAGGGAGAACAAATCCCTGCCACAGAACCTCGTGGAAGAGGCCATTTGGAACGGCTCCACGGCTGTGGAGTGACCTTCCAATGGGGAGGAATCCAATGGGGAGGAAAAGCCCCAGAAATCCCTCACGAGGAGGGGCTGCAAACGCAGCCTGGGGAGCTGTGAGGAGGCAAAACCCTCCCTGTGCTGGGAAGGGTTTGGGGAATGTGAGAAGAGCTTCAGGCAGAGCTCAGCCTATTCCTGGTGCCTCCAAAAACGGCGGTGCCAGATGCAGAGATCCATGGGGACACAGAGATCACCCATCAGATCCACGGGGATGCAGAGATCCCCCTGGAGATCCATGGGGATGCAGAGATCCCCCTGCAGATCCATGGGGCTGCGGAGATCCCCCTGCAGATCCACGGGGATGCAGAGATCCCCCTGGAGATCCACGGGGATGCAAAGATCTCCCAGCGGATCCATGGGGATGCAGAGATCCCCCTGCAGATCCATTTGGATGCAGAGATCCCCCTGCAGCCCCCGGAGCAGCCACGCTGAGCACGGCGATGCCTGAGAGGAGGCTGCGACCCCGTGGCCAGAGGGCCCCGCTGGAGCAGCCTGTCCTGGCAGGACTGACCCCGGGGCACAGTGACCCACGCTGCAGCACTTGGTGGGGGCTGTGCCCCGTGGGATGGACTCAGCTCGGAGAAGTTCCTGGAGAAGTCTCCGGTGGGAGAGAGCCCAGGGTGCAGCAGGGGAACGACTCCTGTCCCTGAGCAGAGGGAGAAGCCCCGGGGCATGAACTGAGCCCGGCCCCATTCCCTGTCTGCGGCACTGCCGGGGCAGGAGGCGCAGCTGGAAGGAGGGAGGCGTGGGGGAAAGCTGCATTTAAGGCTCTTCACTTACTTCCCATTATCCTGCTCTGAGTTTTAGGAGTTTTCTGTCAGAAATCTCTCCCCTCCCCCACTCATCCACAGGGTTTTGGGGCGGTTTTCTCTTTTTGAGGGAAATCAAAGCGATGCACTGATGCTCCTAATTAGGGGTAGGAGAAGTGAGGCTCCAGGGCTTCCCGCTGAGCCGGAGCCACCGGAGCCACAGTGCCGGGAAAGCCGTGGCGGGAGGTGCGGAGAAGTTTGTTTGTGTTTTCAGCTCAATCCCCTCGGGCCCGGGCCAGTTCCAGGGCGGTTGCTCAGCTCCGGCTCTGCCCTCACGCAGCCCGGGGGGCCCTGAGAGCGTGGGGCGGGGCTGTGCCGTGTGCAGAGCCCGCCCCTGGCTGGGATTGGGCGATGGTGCCGTCAGTCGTGGTTGTGGCGCGCTGATTGGTGGGAGCGGGGCGGAGCAAGGTCTCGGTGGCGAGCTGAGGGCGGCCGTGGCTGGGCAGCGGTGCCATTGTCGGAGCGTGTGTGCGGGCCCGCGAGCGGCGGCAGCGGCCGGAGCGCGGTGAGGCGGCGGCGGAGCTCGGAGGCGGCCGCAGCGCAGGTGGGAGCCGCGCTGGGTTGTGCGGGGGCTCGGGGCTGGCTGCGGGCCTCGGGGGCGGCAGGGGGCTCAGGCGGGTTCGTTGTGCCGTGTGGGGCCCGTGTTGCCGCTGGCGTGAGGGCGCTGCGGGAGCGGCTGCCCGCGGTCTCCTTGCGGCCGCTGCCTCGGCAGGAGCCGCTGCCGGAGCAGCGCTGGCTCGGCCCGGTTGCTGTGGCTGGGACAGAGGGGGCTGCCCCGTGCCCGGGGCTGTGCGGGGAAATTGCCGTGGCCGGAGGTTTGTGTGCGCAGAGGAGACAGAGGAGTCCTGTAAAAGTGACTTTATTGCTGAGCAGAGGGAGAGGCCGTGGGGCATTTGCCGTGCGCTCTCTGCCATTGTTGTAGTTCGCAGCCTCCTTTTTATCCTCATTTTCCCGGCCTCATCTCCCTCTCCCTTTGTGCACTGGCTGAAGTGCTTGGAAGGTTCAGACCTGCCGATCCGCCAACTGGATGTCCTCGTTGATGTGCATCCCCACTTTTGTATAACTGCCGATATTCACGGCTCTGTTAAATCCTTGTTCTTCTGGAAGTTCAGGAATTTAGCGGGACTTTCTGTGAGCAGCAATCCATGTTAATTAGTAACATTTATTGAAGCTGGTGGTTTCGCCCGTTGCTTCCTTATCTGCAAGTTCTTGGCCCCTCGCTCAGCTGCTGAATGAGCTGCACTCTCAAGGTGTGGAGCATGGTAAAAAGATGAGAGTTGCTGCAGCACATCAGAGGAGAAACAGCATTCGTTTAACCCATGGTCTGCCAGGGAGCCACAAAACCGTGTCCCATTCCCATCCTTTTCGCGTTTGAATCCGTACATGAGCTACTTTCTTCATTCCCTTTGTATCTGTTTCACCACTTTTCCTTTTTCATCTTTTTGCCAACAGCAGTTTGTGTCAATTAATTTTCCACAAACTCCTCCTTTTTCTGCTAACAGATGCTCTGATCCCATCCCATGGTTAAGTCTTGTGTTCCTCATTTCAGTGGATTGGTCAGCAGGAAGGTCAGGAGCTGGAGCTGTCTGGTTGGTTATAATTCTGAGCAGAGCTCGTAATCTAACGATGCCAATGAAATGAGAAATGGGTTCTGTGGCTCCTGATATGAATTGGTTCGGGTTCCCAGGGGCTGGTCCATGGTGTTGTAGGATTTGTTCTGGTGGCCGTTCATCTTTTCCCTGTTTTTGGGCGCTCTCTCCAGCCAGGGCTGCATCAATTGACTGCTTTTCTCTAATTAAATCATCAAATCCTTGGATTCCCAGCTTATTTCCCTGAATTTTTGGTAGCAAAAAACCCCCAGTGCTTTAATATAACCTACATAACACAGACAGTGACAGCACATGTTGGAGTGGGCAGCGGGATGATTCCCCTCCCATTTTTTATAGTGAAGTTTTCCCAACGTTGTCAATGTGCTGTTTCCCTTTGCAGCTTCACCCGTTTCTGTTGCAGGGTCAGATATCCTCCCCCTGGGCTCTGCCTTGAGCTGTGCAAATTCCAAAAGTTCAAGCAGGCAGAGCTTGGGGTGAGGGACAGAGGGAATCAGCTCAATTCCTGCCCCTGGCAAGAGACCCAGGTGCATTGTCCAAACTTTGCCCAGCAGTGTTCATTTGCATTTCTAAAGCTCCTCTGGAGGCTGCTTGGAATGAAGCTTCTCTTCCTGCTGCTGGGCAATGTTGATGTTTTGTTGCTGGTCGTTATCTCTGTGGGTGTCTTTTGTTCTGTTCCCAGTCTGTTCAGGTGCTAAACTCATCTTCATTGAGCGGTGTAACACCCCTTAAAAAAACCCTTTAAAATTCATTCCCCCAAGGCAAAGAAAACCAAGCCTGAGTAGAGAAATAAGGTTTAAAAGAACCAAACACGGTACATTTACAGCAGTGCAATGGTAGGCAGCCCAGTGTGTGGGTGTCAGTGAGCCCCAGAGTGGAATTGTGCCGTGGTGTTCCCCAGCAGCTGTGGCAGTGCAGGCCCAGCCAGCGCTGAAGCTGCAGCAGTGGCAGCAAGGCTTGGCCCCAGTGGCTGGAGATGGCAGAGGAGGGTGGCCAGGATTGCAGAGGATTCCAGGCGAGGATCTGTGGGCAGGCGCAGGGGCTTGGCCCGCTGTGGAGCCCTGGCTGCTGCTGCGTTGCCTTCAGGGCAGGCTCAGGGGCGGCCTCCCATCCTCCTGCTGCAGGCGGGAAGTGCAAATCTGCGGGGCTTCAGAGCCCTTGAGGCCAGGCTGAGGGGTCCCCCCGTGTTGAGCTGTGCTGGCGGCTGTTTCTGGCCTCAGGGACACTTGGCATGGGCCCCTTGGCCACCAGTGGTGCTGCTTTGCACTCCTTAGGCAGGAGCCGATGTCCTGGCTGGGTGTTGGCAGCAGCAAAGTGCCAGGGCAGGCTGTGTGCCAGCCCAGCTTCCTGTGGGAGAATGTGCCTTGATATCTGCTCCAGTGGTTGCTGAAGCAGTGAGAATTGCTTTTGCCCCCCTGTTAGGTGCCAAGGTGTCGTCAGAAGATATTGAAGCCTTCCTGCTCAGGGCATTTCAGTGCCAGGCTCTCACAAGCACCCACAGCTCCGCCGGTTGAGCTGAGCATGGGGCGGTGACCTGCGCTGTGTCTGATTCCCCTTCCTTAATAACAGCCTGTCTTGTAGCTCTTTTCCCTTCTGCTGCCCTTGCAGAGCCATCCACAAACACATTTTGTCCCTCAGGCCAGGGAATGTCCCATCATCAATCTCTCCCAGCCTGGGTCTGGAGCTCTGTTCCTTGAGTGCAGTCCTGGGTTCCTTGCCAGCCCCTCTCCAGGCTGTTCAAACAGGAGGCTGGGTTAAACCCTTGCCCTGTCCTCAGTTCTAAATCCTCCTGTGCCATCGAACAAGTTTCATACTGTAATAACCTAACCCTGCTCATCCATTTAGAGGCTGTTTAGGTTGTCAAAGCTTTACCTTGATGCCAGACTTGAACTATAGGAGATCCTCCTGTTGTCATAACTTTTCAGGCGAGGCCACTCTCTGGCCACTGGGTTAAACATTTTAGCACAAAAATTCCTTTAACTAGACCCTGTTTAAAATCCACCTATAATTCAAATTCTTTTTCCCTGTTTGAAAGGCCCAGGCCAGCTGCCTCAGTTAATCTTCATTTTAACACGTGAAAATTCTGTGTTTCCTCCTGCATTCCATCCATCCAGTTTGTTGACTGGCTGGATAGGAGTGTTGTAGGGAAACATCCCTGGCTCCAAAAGCCCTGCCTTTAACAGGGACTCAATACCAGGCTGTGAGCCCTTCCTTCCCTCTTTTGGAACAAGGTATTGCTTGTCCTGGTTGCTTTAAAGTAATTTGTAGCGGCTCCATTTCTAATTTTCCCTCTTTCCCTGTGTCTACCCGCACTTCTGTGTTCACTTCAGCATGGGCCTTTTCAATCTTTCCACACAAAGGTAGAACAGAACTAGCCTCTGTATCCCCTTTTACAGTATTAAAATCCAGCTCTCAAATTCCTTCCTAGGTAATTACCATCACAGGAGGAAGAAAGAGAAATTCATTTTATTCAAACCTATCCCCCACAGCTTCTAATAATAGTTGAACAAGTCATACCTGCTCATCTTTCTCACTCATTCCCTTAAAAATTAAAACATTCCTTTACTCTTTTCCCCCTTAGGTCTAAGATTCAGAGTGGATTGAGAGGCCCCTGTGTCCATCAGGAAATGCCTCCTCTCAATGCAGTCCCACCCTGAATGTTCTCAAGGGCTCCGGTGTGGAGGGTCCCTGGTGTGATGGGAGCTGTGACAGCCCTGCCAGTCCGTGTCCATCAAGGGGTGGACTTGCTGGTCCTGAGGGTGCTGCTGTCTGTGCTTGCAGTGTCCTTGTGCCCTGCAGCTGGAGCCCTGATTCCTTGCCAGGGGCTGTTTAGGTGGGCTCTCCCCTGCCGAGGAGGGCAATGCCTCTGCCAGGTGCTTGTGGCCGAGCCGTGCCCTGGGTGCTGGGGCCCCCTTGGGCCCTGGGGTTGATCCCTCATGGACTGTAGGAACTGTGCCCTGGCCTTTGCCTTCAGCTTGGCCTTTTGCTGCTCCCTTCTTGCATTCACCTGCTGTGCCTTTGTGTCCAAGTGCTGCAGGGCCTTCTTGTGCCCCTCCTGCAGCCCCCTTCAGTGCCTGTGGGTGCTTGTCTTGCTTTACAAGAGAGGTGTC